CGGTACTCGACGATTGCGGCCCAGCCAGGCTGCTGCTCGCCGCACCGGTGCTCCCCTGCCCCTTTCGAGACACCTCCCGCCAGTCCATGAACTTCTCCTCGCGGTCCCAACCGAGGAACCCTGGAGCCCTCATCGACGTCGTTCGCCAAACTACTGCGATCTGCGTAGAAGAGGGTTGATATATGCATTTGACGTACATACGACACAGGATCGGTTGCGTGATGGTGAAAATCAAATGAGAAGTGGAAAAAGATGTAGGATAGATTGGTGAAAGTTGTAGGGAGGCTGAGCTACGTCAGTGGGGAGACACTATATTCGAATGTAGATTAGTTTATTGACTATACTGGGCGTTTCATTTTAATTCATTCATGAGATTATCTTCGTAACTATTTGTTCTTCGACGATATGTTTCACGTGCAAACGTGCTCCACGTTGCTCTGTATCAAAGGGGACACAAACTTCATGCACAAATAACTTTATGAAGGGAACAAATCTTATATACAAATCTAGTAAGATTATACGAGTACGCGAGCAATTTGCGGCGGATAGGAATGAAAAAGACGACAGAGAAACGTGACTCACCTCGACGGTATTTCGCTCGTCGGTTTCACCAGCGGCAACTTCGCCGCTCCCCGAGGTGGTTGCAACTGCAGCTGCGCTGCGTATGCAGAGGTAACATTCCCCGAGACGTAGTGCGGAGGCTTCGAGCTCTCCTAGCTGCAGGACGAGGCCACGTCTGCCCAACGTCAGAGGCCAGCCTTCCGGTACCACCGACTCGTTTCCCTGCAACGGAATCATACTTATTATTATGCTAATTCGCAACTCAAGGTTATTCAAGGTTATATGAAACGATATAACAATATAGAACGAAATTCTGAGGAGACTTCGGGAGATAAACTAATATCTAATATTAATAGCAGAATCGAAAGGAGCAATAAGGAAAAATATATTTTCACCGTCAAAATTTCATGTTAGATTGCTTCTCTTTTACTTTTGCTTTCTTTCTTTCGCGTGCATTTCATTTATGTTAAACAGTTTCTGCTTATAAATAAATAAATAAAGTAAGTACTTCGTACCGACCGATAAATTATACTGCACATACATTTCTACATTTTCTCTTAACCTGTAGCAAAAGGATTTAAGATTTATCTCGGTATTACTAGCCATTTTATTTAAAGGAAGGCAGTAATACTCGACTAGAGAAATAATTACGACTTTCGATATGCTTAAACAAACTATTCGGCAAACCCACGCGACAGTTCCGATAAATTACCGCAGCGATATTTATTTCCCCTATAATTTGTGGAAACATAAAACACCCACAAACGCGTTCCAATTACCTCAACACACGAGGGGAGAGAAGGCCCATATTGGTTTACGATGCACGCAAACACGCAAAATAGTGATTCTCGGTCCCCTCGGTTTCCCACATCAATTGGATCGCCCCGTGGTCGCGTTAGAGGGGCGATGAAAAGGGCCCCGGACAATCGGGACGATTAATTAAAAGCCGGAAGCTTCGTGGCTAATGAAATTCCTCTAAATAAGTTATACGAGAAAGGGAGGGTAATTGCAAAGCCAAGCCTCCGCGAGAGAGAACGTTAATCACCGGTGATTAGAGGGTAATCAACGCGGATATGCCCAAAATTGAGCAGACGTGCGCTGCTAGTCGCGTCATACCTGTCCCACGGTTTAACCCGTTTCTGTCAGAGGAGAATACGAATGGAGTTTCATTGGACTCCGATTGCATTTGTGAACTGGAGAAACAAAATGAAATGTAATGTCCATTTTCTGCGATAATTATACAAGTAAAAAATAACGATTTTATATTTTGATATTCTGGTATAGCTGAGACCAGCTGCTCTCTAACGAGGCTTTTAGGAATCTTGGCGAAACTTTGAATTTTTTATGCGATATAAATGATGACTTTTGTGACAGATAAAGACTTAATCTGACAGCGATTGAATTTTTACTCGATTGAGATATAAAGCGTTTCATAACACGAACTCGCACTTGATAATTTAAATATGTGAAAAATTTGGATGGTTACATCGAGATACAAGGTAATCTCGTGGAGCTCCTTACTTAAGAACAGAGTTATTGAGACACAGAAACATTCGTAAAGCTGAAAACGAGGTCAGACAGAACAAGTATTCACGTAAGCGCGTTTCGTTATTTCCTTATTGAGACTCGCTCTTAAGGACTTTCCAGTAATAGGCATCGTCACGGCTGTAATTGCTTAATAAAACCTGCTCTACCTGTTTTCGTATCAATAACAAACAGTCTTTTACAAGCCGATTATTACGAGAAAAAATATGAAAGATATCCATGAAACTCTACGCAACAAATATTGCAATGATATCGTTGCGATTTTATGTAAATTACTAAATATTTTGTTGTTAGGGTAGATATTAAGAATCTGATAGAATCGAGTGAAAAAATTCCAAGAACGAGTAGAATCCTTGTCTCGACCAGAAGACTCTCTTTGTCAGAAACGGTGAAAGGGCAGCGTTGCAACGTTACTCCCAGAACCTCGTGTTTCGCCCACGCGCATCGATGCGCGACCCAACGTGTAAGCAATTAGACGGTGCGACACGCGAATAAAAGCGACCGGTAGAATGCTCACACCTTGCCCGCATACCAACAGCTGGAAATCAAACGACGCGAACACGCCATCAAACTATGCGATCTTTTTCCACCCTGCGTACAATTTGACATACTCGCTAGAATCACATGCGACGTACAGATTTTCAGAAAATCCTAATTCCAGAAATACTTTATTCTTTTCATGATCATTAAACGCGTGTAAACGTTCTAAGAAAACTAACGTTGACTTTCACCGAATTATTTATTTTCAGCCAAATGAAATTTGTCATGCAATCGAACTTCAATTACCATTTAAATAGTGCCATTTTAAAGCATATTACCGTACAGTGTTTCCAATGTTAATAACACGGTATTCTCAAGTGTAGCACATAAATCAAAACACTGCCAGCCAAGTAAGTACCTTGCCTATGGACTGGTACCTTGCCCAACGAATTCCAAGCCATGTTGAAAAATCAGATTGCAGTTTGAAAAGACGGGAGTAACCTGAGCCGACTGCAGAGCCATTCCATTCTCGCCACCTCGAGTCGTATAAACGCGTGTATCCATCAATAACCCGACACCTAGCGGAGACGTTATCTTCGAATCGGCCAACTCATTTAGGAATTCATTACACTCATTAATTCGCCGTAAAACCGCGAACCATTATAGATACATCGGACATTTCCATCGACGTTCATTGTATCCGCTATCGCGTTCTCTGCCGCGCCTAGCATCGATATCGATCACTTTTTCCAAGACACCGCCATAAATAACTACGATAATAAAGTCGCAGAGACGGACAAAAATCTGCACGAATCGCTCGGTTGACAGTCAAATTCCATCGATATCGATCGCGAAAAACTGTTTCCCACGCGGTGATTACAGATAGATCATATCGCAGGGGAAGAAGTTGCGCAATCCAATCGAGAATGCGGCTTAATTAAGTCGAGAACGCGAAAGCGTGCCATGTGCCACGTATCGCGGTTCCTTTGTGTGTCTATCGAATAGTAGAGCGATAGAAATTGGCCACTGTATCTTGCAGATCCGCTTCGTATTGCGAATTGTGTCAAAAAAGCGCAGGAGAACGTATGTCTATGAAATGTATGGCAGAATTTGTAACAGGATACTTCAAACTATCGTATGAAAGGACTTGACCAAGATTTCTGTAAGTTATTCGTAACATTAGATCATTTTGTTAGGCCATTATATCGAGATACTAGTTGCAAGGATATTGCGAGGAGCATTTTAAGTAGTAAGGGTAAACGAAAAGGAGAACATGCTACTTTGGGAGACTTTCGACGATAATTATCTTGTATGTATTCTATATCGAAATGAAAAAATGAATAGATGTACGACAAAACTAATTATCCTAACCTATTCGAATTTGAGATTTTATCATAAAACCAACCCTGGTATTTCGAATACTTTTCTGTTTATATCGAAGATCATAACATAACGCAGTATGTATGTAACACATCTGGTATATCATTGATTATTTTATGTAGGTACTACACAACACACCTGCTATTAATTAGTCAAATACACACGTAAATTACTAAATCTATTCTCAATCTCTGTTACTATCTTTAGAAACCTCTGCCAAAGCTGTCAACGTTACTTCTCACCTAGTATCCAATAGATCGCTTGCAATCGCTTGCACCACACAAAATAGCCAATTCACGCTTTCGAGCTATAAACGAGATAGCCGTTGGGGGGAAAGGAGAGCGTACGATACAGGCGGGTAATATCTAGTAATTTCATCTTGGATA